TGTACACATTTTATTTTAGTGAACGGAATTTGTGGGCAGCCTTTGTTTTTGAGGGCCAACGTAATCGCTTTCGAGGAGTTCAGTGTTCTACGCTCTGACCTGATTTGTATATTACGACTGTTAAGAATTATGAAACGCGCCTCGTTTTTTTACCCTTCCATGTTTTGAGCGATACATTTTTCCAGCGTTCCGTTTTCCGCGGTTGTCCTCTGTTACTACGGTTTCCTGAGCCAGCTGCAACCAATTCACAGGCCATTTCTTTATCACCTTTCGACATTTTCCACTCATCCAAACTCAGGCACTCACCGAGTCCATTTTCACTCACGGCCCCTGAGAGTCTGTCTCTCGTCGTCCGTTGCAGGATGCACAGAAGTCCACCCAAATTCTGTGAAAGCTTGTAAAGTACACGCAACAAAACAAACATTTTTCCTGTTGTTTTGTACGGGTGTGAAACTTGGTCTGTCAGGTTAAGGGAAGAACGCAAGACTTGAGGTGTTTGAAAACGGAGTGCAGAGGGGGGAAAATTGCGTGACAAGTGGGTAAATTTTGCTGGTGGCCAAACCTGTCAAATGCCGGTCATCCCTCGACAGAAATAACACGGAAGAGACACGTTTACTCTGCGCAGCGCAGGTCACATGATCCGTACCCGATCCACCTGCCAGTCAGCGGCGTAGGGAGGGTTTGTATTGGATTCATCTGGCTCAGGACGGTGTTCAATATGCCCGCACGTTGACTGGCTTGATTTGCACGAATGGGGGTCTCGTTGTGCCTCGTAAAGGTTGCAGGAAACTGTGATCGAGCACAGATTGTTCACGTGAGGGACACGTGGGCATTGGCAGGCGACGAGGAAGAAGATGCAGAGGTCGTGACTAAAGGGCGCATGTGTCTCTCCTGATTTGTAGCGTGTGGCTCGGTAATCTACTTTTGGAACATTCTGTAGCTACCGTTCCCTCTCTCTCACTGCTTAGAGGGGTGGCGGGAGCAGTCCGAAGAGGGACGGACTGAAGCTGTGACTGCGGTCAGCGGCAGTCAGTTGTCAGACAGCTGTCGGAGTGTGTGGTTGTGTGTTTTGTGGCCCGGGCGCTGATTTCGCGGTAAACATGGCGACATCGCGTGGGGAACAGCAGCGACGCGTGGCGTCCAGTTCAAGAAGCGGGTGACCTCGATAGTTTACCTCAAGAAATCGTGGGGTGAAAGTTGTGCAGTGACTGTACCGAGTACCGCGTCTCACAAAATTCTGTGAAAAGTCCGCGGAAGAAGAATTTTGTTGCCTGGAACGGGTGAGATAAAGGTGAGAGAGAGAACGCAGTGTTGCCGTTTGCCCTCCGAAGAGAAATCCTCACGAGGATGTCGGGGCGTGCGAAAGAGATGAAGGCGGCAGAGAAGTGGAGCTCTGTGATATCCACGGTTCGTTGCATCTGGACGCGATTATCCTTTGG